TACATGTGATTAATAGCATTGCAAACAGTTACGAATATTTAAGATTGAATTGTTACTGTGCAAACCATAACATAAATAAGTACATGCGCCCATATCGAAACGAATGAACAACTGTGGCCCCATGTTTGTGCCCGGACTACTTGGTGATCGTGACATCCACACGGAGCTTTGCTGCGTTTCTTGTGGATTGCACATTTGTACCCCATCCACTTAATTGTTTGTTCATTTTGCTATGCATAACTGGTCGACTTGGGGTGTCTTTATGCACACATTCTACACTTTGACAGAACGAGTACGTTATAACTTTACGCACTGTATGGTTGGGTTGAAATTTGAAGAAGCGAATGAACCCTTAACTGTGTTACATTAACCCACGCTCACATGTGCTTGGGTATTGTGACTTTATTTATGGCTGCTGTTCTATAAGAGGTACATAAAGTTGGAAGCCCCTGATAAAAACGATTAACCTAATATAGGTAACAGACCGGTAAAGGTAAATGATAGGGGCACATCCCCTGCATCGTGGAACCTTTTGTTCCCTAGACCATTGAGTTTCTGTGATATGTTTGTGTTTGCGATTTGACATTTCACGATTTAAAATGTTTGATTCCGATATTTTGAGTGTTCAGACTCGTCGCAAGTACTGTCGCGGATGTCACAGTGAAATCCTAGTGTGCATGAATCCGTCAATATGGATGTCGTAAATTGACAGCTCTTCACGCATTCGTCACGATTGAGCATCTGAACATCGAACCAATCAGAGCATGACAATTGGATCGTTGATGTTGAAGTGATGGTTCAAGACCATTCACGCGATTTCCATGTCCTGTCACAAACCCCCGGTGAACATCCCGTCATCGGATTATCCAACATTGGCCAAGTGTTTCTGTTATGCTCGTTGCTTGCTTGTCAATCAGCGTTAGCAGTTATGCTCGTCCGTCACAACCTCCAGCTCCGAAAGCTCAGTATATCTACAGGGCGTAATTCCGTGAAGGCATTCAGCCACCCGGCGATTTTCATGCGCTTGCAGACTCCATAATATGCCGAAGAACAGAACTCGGAAAAGCAGTCGTCTCAGTGCGGCGAAACCTAGTCATGCTGCGGTGGCAGCGACGGCTTCTATGGTCAACGAGCAGCAGCCAACACAACACCAGCAAAACGGCCCTGATGTGCAACCAACTGGGGACGGAGGACCGATGGTGACAGACATGGCCGCGGAACTACGGAAGCTTGGTGCCTGTCTCAGTGCTGTTGAAGCAGACATGGCAAATATGAAGCACGTTGTTGGGAGGACTCACGACATATGTGACCGGATAGCCTCAACGGTTACGACCATATTTGGCGACTCGAAACAGTCAGGGGGTGGATCGACAATTTTGTGTGACATGCCGGTTCCTTATGAAAACCTTGCGGGTGACGCGGTTGTTGAGACTCCGATAGTTCGCCGCACCAAGAATAAGAGTTACAAAGCGGTGCGCAAAGAGATTAAGTCCGACTACGTGGGCATCGCACAGATGCCGTGGAGCGGCCGATGGGTTGCAAGACTTGTGTGCGTTCCACAGAAAAACGGGCATCTGGTCATCGGCAATCAGTTTGGGACCAAGTTAGACGCGGCGAGATCACTGGCAGCATGAGCACATGTGCTATTTGGTCCAGACGCCGGGCCTAGAGGGAAGATTGTTGGAAAGAACAGTTGAAAGTTAGAAACGAGAAAGAGGGATTGCACTAGCAAGCAGTTGAGTACATATAGCAAACCCTAGATTGGGCTGTACTCACTATTGAGTACCCCACTGCAAGCTAGACAAATATAACATTCTGACACACCCCCATAGCCAAAGTGGGGTGTAATCAGCACAACAAGCAAAGCAAAAACAAGCTCAGGGTGGATCACAATGTCACCACACATTCTGAGCACAAGTACAAGAAGCAACAGTTTATAGTTCACAGCAATAAGCAAAGCTAGAGGCTGTCACAGAGGGCAAGTGAGGAGGAGGAGGCTAGACTGATAGGAAAGGAGAGAGGAGGTAACGGCTGAAGCTGCAGACACACGGGCAACAGGAGCGCGCGCACTGTGGCTACCGGAGGCGCACCTCCGGACTACAGGAGTAACTGGCTCCGCGGCTAAGACGAGCGGCAGGAGCAACGGACCCACGGGCGACTGGCGCAGCAGGCTCGCTGGGCTACCGGAGGCGCACCTCCGGACTACAGGCGCTGCTGACGACACGACGGCTACCTCCCTTCAACCTCCCCCACTGTCGCACCCCCCTTTCACACACCCCCTGCTGCACCCCTAGGTTCACTCACACTCCACCCCCTAGCACCACTCCGTCGACTCACACACACCCACCCCCCTCAGCGGCAGCTGCAGCAGTGGGAGACGGAGTAGGAGGAGGAGCAGGGGATGCCACACACCCGCCACCCAGCTTTCACCCCCATACTCGCCACCCCCAAACCCCAACACAGGGTAGGGCCGCGACGAAGACGGGGGCAGGGCCGGGCAGGGCAGGGCCGGGACAGGGCCGGGCAAAGCAGGGCCGGGCAGGGCCGCGACGAAGACGGGAGGGGCCGACGCGTGGCCCCCTTCTGTCGCCCCCCCCAGGGCGCCACGACGGGCGACGGGAAGTGGTCACGTGCGGGCCCCCAAGGGCGCCACTCCGGGCGACGGAAGGGGGGGCCGCGTGGGCCCCCAATGGCGCCACGACGGGCGACGAGGGGGGCCGCGCACGAGCCCCCCGGGGCGACGAAACCGCCGTGCGCCCCGAGGCGCGCGACGGGCAGGGCACCATTGCGCGCCACGGGGCACACGACGGGCAAATCAGGGCGTCGCGCGCCCCCAGGGCGGCGCGACGAGCAGAAAACCGCCGCGCGCCCCTAGCGCGCGGCGGGAAGAAAAAAGGCCGCACGCCACGGGCGCGCGGCAGGCAGAAAGATAGCGCGCGCCCGAGGCGCGCGATAGGCAGTGTTGACAGCAGAAGCTTAGGTGGGCCCATCCACAGGATCGACCCGAGGGGGTCGACCTGCTCTGATTCCATGTTGGAAAGAACAGTTGAAAGTTAGAAACGAGAAAGAGGGATTGCACTAGCAAGCAGTTGAGTACATATAGCAAACCCTAGATTGGGCTGTACTCACTATTGAGTACCCCACTGCAGGCTAGACAAATATAACATTCTGACAAAGATCGTACCACTAAAAAATATAGACAAGGCGAAATTGAAGGGATGTGACAAGACCACCTGTTTGGCAATGATTCGTCACAAGTTTTGGCATAGGTGGGAGGACTGGGAGGATGCATGGGATGACTGCAAAATCTAGATGGAAGAAAAGGTGCGCAGGGTTGCAAGGAGACTGGCCGCGGTAGAGAATGTCTCATATCGGACAGACGGTCGACGGACTAGAAAGCGCAACGATGGGACACAGGAATAGTTGCCATTATTACGGGGTCGTTTATTTGTGATGTGTACAATATTTTTTTCAGGTCCGTAGACGTCTGGGTCCGTATTGTGTGAGCTACTAAAACTGCCTGTACCGCTTTCTGTATGGGTGTCACTGGGATATGACAAATGTTTCATAAATTCACGAGTAGCTGACGTTTGTGCTAGGTTTTTAATGTCACATATTCATTGAGACGCCCTACTATCCTTACTACCAACCCAACTTAACTCATACACACAACCGCATTGGCATTCTAAGATGATTAATGCCTGCAGGCATGTTGAACATAAATGATGCTGTGTAGCAACACTGTTACGAGAGATATACGATGTTGAGACGAGATTGTCTACAGGCCGTTGCGAATTCGCGAGCGCATCACGGGGTAAAACCATGGGTTACACGATGGTATTGAACATGGTTGTTTCGAACACCCTTTGGGTAATGAGATGGGCACCCAAAAACGTTTTGCCTAAAGTTTTGAGGCAGGGATCATTTCCTCCATTCGAAGCATGGTAAATGATCAGGCTAGCTATCGACGAAAGCAAGACACATGCGCGCATTTTATAGGGTGATCAATGGTTTTTTTTCACATTGGCGAGTTCAAAAGAAATCCATCGAATAACTTGCGAAACACTCGGTCTGGCTTCGCGGGCCATCCACAAGGCCCTGGTTATTGACCAGCCATTCGCTCACGGGGTGTTGACGCCCGGCAGTTCTACACGAGCGCCAAACCCTAGGTTCTACACGAGCGCATGTTCTAGCCAATGGCGTGCCATTGACTGGGAGTTCACGGGCTAGTGACGGAGTAGTTCGTTCTGTGCACGCCAAATCGGTTTGACGCGAAGCACTCGGTTACACTTCACGGACATTCCACTGGCCTTTCACAAGCCATCTACAACGATCGAAGATAATGCAACGGCGTAATTTGCCACCAACTATCCAATCGCTACAAATCTTACTGTGTGTTCACGGGCCATTCGCGAGGGCCTGGTAAATGATCATGCATGGTCTCGACCGTGGCAATTCAGTGGCGTTGCATTCCCTTTGAGTTCACGGGTGCCTGGACTTTGAAGTGAACGTTTGTTCATGGGATATTGATGAAGTGGTGACGGGAACTTTTACCCTGCTCCTAACGATCGAGTCACGGCGCTTCCAGTGTTGGTCCCTAAACCCTTCACTGGGTTTTCATGCTAGGTTGACGTGCTTGTCAGCCTCAACCTGCACTCTACTGGATTTTATTGTGTATATCAATCATGCTAATATAAACATAAACCTATGAACCCAGTATACCAACACTAAATCTTCTGCACTAGCCAAAGTGGTTTGAGAACACCTACTACAGAGACTACTCTAATTCATTGAGAAGCTATTGTAGCTATATAAACTCTGGAATGTTCAAATGGTGCCCGCGCCAGGTGCAGCCTCCCGATAGGGCTTTCGCGACTTTGGGCGCTTACGGTACCTCCTCTTTTGCGGAACAGCGCTGCCACCGTACTTTCCTATGCAACGGTTCTTGTTGTGACCGTGCATCTTGCAAACGCTGCACTTGCATGGATGCACGGCCTTCTCTACGCGAGCGTAGCTCGGGGGGCGGCCGACAGCGGTGCGGCGAAAGGGCGGAGCATCGCACACGCCGGGGGGGGGGGGGGGGGGGGGGGGGGCAGCCTCTTCTCAAGGATGATGCGGTCCACACAGGACCCCCACACCGTTGAAGAGTACGTCTCTGCCCAATTCTTTGTGGTGTAGAAATCAGAGACAAGAGTGCGGGGGTCTAGCTTCCGCTTCACAGCAAAGGCCACAGCATGGGAGCACGGAAACTGGTACTGGTCCCAGTTTTTGCAGTCGCATGTCTTCGCCTTCAAGTTGACGTTGAAGAACCTCCATTCTTTGGGATCATCGGTGTCCCTGGTCTGGATGGTTCCTTCTTCATGGTCCCCGCCCAACAGCTCGTACCCCTCCGCCCGTGTCTCCTTCTCCACCATCCGCTCCTCGGCTGCCTCTGTCAGGAGATCAGTTCGCTCGAGCGCCACCATCTTACGTTCACAATACCTATTGCGATACCAGTCCATGAGACCCCCTAGCAGCGGGGTCACCGGCAAGCGCCGAATGGGCACGATGAAGCTGTTGACCTACTCAGCTGCGTTGCTGGTGAAGATCCCGAAGCGACGAGTAGGGGCCTTAAGGCGAGTCCAGTGGACAAGATTGATGCCCAAATTCTTCCTTGTACCATGCTTTTCTGCCTAAACCCGGTCCGCACGCATGTGGTGTGGTCCCCATCCGCAACACCGAACTCTGGAGTGTTGTCATCGTCGTCCACGCTAGCCTCTGCCTGCACCCCCTCTGCTGTGGCAAGTGCTTCTGCATCCTCTGCATCTGCCTCCTCTGCATCTGCCTCCTCTGCATCTGCATCCTCCTCATCGTCCTCTTCAGCATCGGCCGCTGTGTTAACCCCGGGGTTGGCACTGCCGACATCTGGCCACGGGTGATCCAAAGAGACCAGGACCAATGCCTGGCAGGTGCTTCCCCCGTTCGGTTCCTCTCCATCCTCAGCCGGGTTTCCGTGCGATCTAGTTGCACGTGGCAGGTCCGTACGGATGGAGCTGGGGATGTAACCTGTCCTTACACGTCTCAAGATGCATGCATAATCAAAAGGTCGTGCAGTTGCAGGCGTTGATCTAGACGGACGAGCTGGCGGCGAGTTGGTGGCAGGGGACTCGGCCGATTGAGCCATAGGGTCAGCAGTGCTTTCAGACGGTGGCTCTGGTTCGGTCGGTGTGGCTCCCGCCGCGCTGGCGTCTCCCGCACCACGCCCATGCGCACGTGAAGTAGTGCCGCGACCCATGGCGGCACGTGCTGCTTCACGACCCTGGCGACGATTCTCGGCTGCTTGTTGACGTGCCTCAGCTGCTGTTGTGGGAGCTGGACGTTGCTGCTCACTTGCATCTGCAGGTGAGGGGCCCGAGATCGACTTCTCAATGCCGAGGAGATAATTAGCCATTGGTGCAAAGTCACGCCGACAGGCCGCCACCAAAGCGTCCCATTTGTCATCAAGCCTGCACTTCACAAGAACAGAAGTAGTGGGGTATGCCAAGCGGGAGAACATCTCGTGCAGCAGGAATCAAACCCTTGTCGCGGTCGCTGATGATGGATGCGTCGTCACGGTGCGGCCACTCTAGGAAGCTCTTCAAAAAGTTATGCAGAAACCAACTCCGCAAATCCTTGTTTTCTCCTTCGACCAAAGCCCTCTCCAGCATTGTAATCTTCTGGTTGCTTTCCAATACCACGGCAAACAGAAGGGTTGTGCACTGTGCACTGATGAGGAACGTTCCGTCCATTGCAACAACGGGGCAGCAAAAACCAAGCGCACCGCGAGAAGTGGGCGGCTGTATGTACATGCGGTTGAAACAGCCGCCGACCGTCTGAATCAAGAAGTTTCCATCCGGGTCTATCTCCCGGAACCTTTCAGCCAACGCGGGGAGCAACCTGAACGACTCTTGCCAATCCCCGTGCAATCCCTCTTTCTCGTTTCTAACTTTCAACTGTTCTTTCCAACATGGAATCAGAGCAGGTCGACCCTTCTGGGTCGATCCTGTGCATGGGCCCACCATTATCTTCCGCTGCTGTCCTGCCTATCGCGCGCCTCGAGCGCGCGCTGTGTTCCTGCCTGCCGCGCGCCCATGGCGCGCGGCCTTTTTTCTTCCCGCCGCGCGCTAGGGGCGCGCGGCGGTTTTCTGCTCGTCGCGCCGCCCTGGGGGCAGCGCGACGCCCTGATCTGCCCGTGGTGCGCCCCGTGGCGCGCAATGGTTCCCTGCCCGTCGCGCGCCTCGGGGCGCACGGCGGTTTCGTCGCCCCGGGGGGCTCGTGCGCGCCCCCCCCTCGTCGCCGACGTGGCGCCATTGGGGGCCCGCGCGGCCCCCCCTTCCGTCGCCCGACGTGGCGCCCTTGGGGGCCCGCGCGTGACCCCTTCCCGTCGCCAGTCGAGGCGACCCTTGGGGGGGGCCGGGGGCCACGCGTCGGCCCCTCCCGTCTTCGTCGCGGCCCTGCCCGGCCCTGCTTTGCCCGGCCCTGCCGTCCGTCCCCGGCCCTGTCCCGGCCCTGCCCTGCCCGGCCCTGCCCCTGTCTTCGTCGCGGCCCTACCCTGTGTTGGGGTTTGGGGGTGGCGAGTATGGGGGTGAAAGCTGGGTGGCGGGTGTGTGGCATCCCCTGCTCCTCCTCCTACTCCGTCTCCCACTGCTGCAGCTGCCGCTGAGGGGGGTGGGTGTGTGTGAGTCGACGGAGTGGTGCTCAGGGGTGGAGTGTGAGTGAACCTAGGGGTGCAGCGGGGGGTGTGTGAAAGGGGGGTGCGACAGTGGGGGAGGTTGAAGGGAAATAGCTGTCGTGTTGCCAGCAGTGCCAGTAGTCCGGAGGTGCGCTTCCGGTAGCCCAGTGATGCTGCTGCGCCAGTCGCCCGTGGGTCCGTTGCTCCTGCCGCTCGTCTTAGCCGCGGAGCCAGTTACTCCTGTAGTTCGGAGGTGCGCCTCCGGTAGCCACAGTGCGCGCCGCTCCTGTTGCCCGTGTGTCTGCAACTTCCGCCGTTGCCTCCTCTCTCTTTTCCTATTAGTCTAGCCTCCTCCTCCTCACTTGCCCTCTGTGATAGCCTCTAGCTTTACTTATTGCTGTGAACTAAAAACGGTTGCTTCTTGTACTTGTGCTCAGAATGTGTGGTGACTTTGTTTTGCTTTGCTTGCTGTGCTGATTACACCCCACTTTGGCTATGGGGGTGTGTCAGAATGTTATATTTGTCTAGCCTGTAGTGGGGTACTCAATAGTGAGTACAACCCAATCTAGGGTTTGCTATATGTACTCAACTGCTTGCTAGTGCAATCCCTCTTTCTCGTTTCTAACTTTCAACTGTTCTTTCCAACATATATGAGTAGTAAAGACAGCTAAAGTCTCTATCAGAAAACCTTATGCATAGTGAATGTAAATGACAAGATGAAAATAATAAAAATTTCATTGCATTATTCAGTGTCAAAACATGTTTATATCATGTTAGTGATGTTAGGCTGTAGTGGGTTACTCCGTATGGGGTATAACCCTTTGTTAGGGTTGCTACTTGTACCACTCATCCTGCTTTAGTCAATCTTTCCTGTTTCCAGATTCTGACATGGTATTAGATTAGGTACGTTCCTTAGGGCCTACCGAACGTTCCGCCCTGCCCGGACTTGAAACTATTTTTTTCCTGCCCTACTGCCCTGCCCGCGCGCGCCCAACTGCCCTGCTACTGAGCGCCCTGCTGCCCTGCTCGAGCGCCGCCCTGTTCGCGCGCGCTCTGCCTGCAGCTGCGCCGCCTTGCCTACCCACGCACTCTGCACGTGCACCCTGCTGCCCACAGCGCCAGCGCGCCCCGCTGCCCAACGCGCCAGCGCGCCCCACTGCCTGACGCACCAGCGCGCCCCACTCCCCGACACGCCAGCGCGCCCTGCTGCCCAGCGCCAGCGCGCCCCGCTGCCCAACGTGCCAGCGCGCCCCGCTGCCCAACGCGCCAGCGCGCCCCGTTGCCCAACGCGCCAGTGCGCCCCGCTGCCAGACGCGCCAGCACGCCCCGCTGCCCAACGCGCCAGCGCGCCCCGCTGCCCAGCGCGCCAGCGCGCCCTGCTGCCCAGCGTCCAGCGCGCCCTGCTAAACCATTAAAAGAAAGAAAGAAAAAAAAAAAGCCCTAGGTGCTGCTGCCCTAGGTGCTGCTGCCCTAGGAGCTACTGCTTGCTACTGCCATAGGTGCTGCCACCTACTGCTGCCGCCCTAGGTGCTACTACGCTGCTACTGCCGTTTGTGCTACTGCTGCTACGCAGCAGCTGCTACTAGCTGCCACTGCCTGCCATGGCCACTACCCCTGTCCTACGTCAGCGGCAGCCGAGTGTGCAGGAGTCTCTCTCGCCGCAGCAGCTTCGCGAGTGGGCTATCTCGTGGGGCAGCCCCGGTGGCGGAGCTAGCCGTGCTAGGGCTGGAGGTGCTGGTGCAGGCGGTCCTCGTACTCGTCGGTGGGAGCCGCTCTCGTCGCAGCAGCTTCGCAAGAGGGCTGTCCGGTAGGGCAGCCCCGGTGGCGGAGCCTGGTGTGCTACTACTGGAGTTCCCTGTGAGTCTACTCCTGCTGGTAGTCCCGATAGTAGACGCGGAGGTTCTGGGGGTGGACAGCAGCAGCAGCAGCGTCCGCTGGAGACTCTCTCCCTGCAGCAGCTTCGTGAGTGGGCTGTCCGGCGGGGCAGCCCCGGTGGCGGAGCTTGCGGTACTAGTGCTGGGGGTGGAGAGGCGCCTAGTGGCGTAGAGGCTGCTAGTCTTGGTGCCTTTGACTCGGCTAGCGCAGGTGCAGAGCATGAGGAGGCCTTGCACACTTTTACTCTCGACTCGGGCGCGTCTCGTTGCTTCTTCCGCGACAGCACCACTGTCACACCGCTCACAGTCCCTGTCCCTGTCACACTGGCCGACCTCTCTGGGGGCCCGGTTGTCGAGCGTGGCGCCACTGTTCTCCCTTGTCCAGTGGCCCCTTCCGGCCTCCTCACAGGTCTCCACCTCCCCTCTTTCGCTAAGAACTTTGTGGCTACCTCTGTGCTCCAGGACCTGGAGGCAAGCTAGTGGCGATCTGTACGGACTCACACACTGGTGAGCACCTCGCCACGTTCATCCGGAGGCCTGGGTCTGGCCTGTACACACTGACCATTGAGTCAGCACTGGTAGCTGAGTCAGGTCAGGTAGCTGCGTCGGTTGAGGTCGCCTCGTCTTGTTCGTGTCGTCTCCTCACGCACCGGACTCTTCTCTGGCACCACCGTCTTGGCCACCCCTCCCTGCCACGCCTGCGTGGCATGCACTCGCGTCTCCTTGTGTCTGGTCTCCCCAGGTCCCTGCCCCCGCTCCCGAGGTCGCTTGTACTGCCCTGCCTTCCTTGCGTCGAGGGGCGGCAGCGCGCCGCTCCTCACTCCTCCTCGTTTCCTCCTACCACTGCTCCGCTGCAGACCCTGCACATGGACGTGTGGGGCCCCGCCCGTGTCACCGGACAGGGTGGCGAGCGCTACTTTCTGCTGGTTGTCGACGACTACACACGCTACACCATGGTCGTCCCCTTGCAGAGCAAGGCGGATGTCCGCGGTGTCTTCATCCGCTGGATCCGCGCTGTTCGTCTCCAGCTTTGCACTCGGTTCCAGCAGGACCTCCCTGTCCTGCGGCTGCACTGTGACCGAGGTGGTGAGTTTTGCTCCCACCTCCTTGAGGACTTCTGTGGTGCTGAGGGCATCGTCCAGTCGTACACGCTTCCGGCCCCTCCACAGCAGAATGGGATTGGCGAGCGCCGCATTGGTCTTGTCATGGAGGTTGCTCGCACCTCCATGATCCATGCGGTTGCTCCCCACTTTCTGTGGCTGTTTGCGGTCCGATACGCCGCTGAGCAGCTCAACCTCTGGCCTCGTGTCTCCCACCCGGAGACCTCCCCCACTTTGCGGTGGACGGGCGAGGTTGGTGATGCGCCGGCGTTTCGGGTCTGGGGTTCCCTCTCTCTTGTCTGCAATTTGCCTGCGGGCAAGCTCTCTCCACGCACTCTTCGGTGCGAGTTCCTTGGCTTTCCCACCGACGCAGCGCCCAGGCAGTTTTACCACCCAGGCTCGTCGTGTGCTGTCCTCCCGCGACGTCACCTTTGACGAGTCCGTCTGCTTCTACCGTCTTCACCCCCACCGCAGTTTCCCGGTACCCCTCCCGCCTCTTTCCCTGGTGGACGACCCCCCCCCCCCCCCCCCCCCCCCCGGTAGCCCCCCTCCCTCCTCACGGTCCCGTTCCCTCAGGTGTGTCTTAGGTAGACCCACCCCCCTTGGTTGAACCTTTGGAGGTCTCCTCAGACACCTTTGGCCCAGCTGAGGGGGGTGACCCGACTCCTGCTGCCACCGTGACCCCTCTCCGCTCTTCACGCTTGGCTGTCCCTCCTGGGTTTCCGCCTCGACCGTCTTCACCGCCGCTGCAGCCTGTCGCTGTGGA